CTTTCTATTAAAGGGAGAAAATGTAATTTTTTTTTCTCAAAAAGATTTTGGTAATGTGTGTGTTTCCTGTATAGAGTAACTGTACACACAGTGTGTTTACTCTGTATCCGGGAGTGTTTTTCAAGGAGGAGGGGGCAGTTTCTGACTGGGAGTTTTCCTTCTCCCATCTCACATAATTCAGTAAAATAAATCAAAGTCAGATGTTCTTTCTTGAGTGGCAATCAGTTGGACTTGGATTTTTTTTTTCTTCACTCTTCTTTAAACTGGTACATCTGGGTGAGCTCAAGCGTGTATATCTTTGGCATCTGGACCTGTCCAGCAATAGAAGACAAACTGACTTATTTTGGCTGCCTCTTTGGACCCATTTAACTGGTACCCTTACTTTCCCAAGGGCTGATGAGGAGGAAGAAAGCAAGTATTAAAGGTAGTGTTTCCCCTAGGTAGTTTAAAGTCAGGTGAGAGATAATCACGGCCTTTGAAGCTGATGACCTGAGGACCATCATTTGATGACTTGAAGATTAGCAGTTTGGAGGGGTCATGTTTGAAAGAAAGAGGATTACATAAGGAGGAAAAGATAAAGAAAGGAAGTTTGGTGGAAGGCTGTGCCAGAAATCTTAGGAAGATAATAAAAAGTAATTGATGTGGCTTTATATTCTCTCAGCAGGAGGGTGAAAATGAAAGCGGGCTGTAGCATCGTGGAAAAGCCAGAAGGAGGTGGAGGTGAGCAGAAGTGAATCATCTCTGGTCTACTTGGAATGTCCCTCCATGGTTCTTTCTCTCTCCACTTGGGCTCCGTTCACAAATGCCAGGCATGACTGACAGCCTCTGGACTGGGTGGATCCTGCTAGGACAGTTGTAGGCTTGTTTCCTATGTTTGTATATCTAACATGTCTGGTCACAACATTTTTATCCCAAGCTTTAGAATCTCTTGGTTAGAGAGACAGTTCTAATCTTGGGGGTAAGGGTTTTCAGCTGTATTTCCCTAAAACATTCATTTATTTTTCCTATTTGTTCCTTTTGGAACTTGCCTGCCTTCATAGAAAGTAGGTTAAGTAGTGTATGGAAGGGTGAGAGATTAGGACACCTGGGCGCTGCTTCCCAGCTCTTACCAGATTTGGTGATTGTCATAAGGAAAGATAACGCCTCTGTGCTTTCCTCTCCCCAGCGGACTGAAGGGGTGTTCATAGCATATTTGCACAGCACTCTAGAGATTCTGAGCGTTGGAATGTGCAGTCAGGGATACTGGAATGTATGGACCTCGCTCCTGACAACTTTGATCTTGCCCTTTTCACATTAAAGGGTATCAGTTTCCTGATTGGGCCTATAAAACAGAGTCGTCCCCAGGCTCCCGGCAGATCCAGCTGTGGCACTTCATCCTGGAGCTGCTGCAGAAGGAAGAGTTCCGCCATGTCATCGCCTGGCAGCAGGGAGAGTACGGGGAGTTTGTCATCAAGGATCCAGACGAAGTGGCCCGCCTCTGGGGCCGCAGGAAGTGCAAACCACAGATGAATTATGACAAGCTGAGCCGGGCCCTCAGGTAACAGAAAGGATCCCCAAATCCATGCTGTCAGTAGGTTGAAAGGAGACTAAGCAGTGTGATGAATGTTAGGTAAAAAGAGTATCAGGTGACAAGAGACTCTATTACCTAAGTAAATAATGTGTAGTTTTCAAATGGGAGTAGAAGAGCTGTTGAATCTGAGTAGCAGAGGCACAAAAGGAGAAAAGGCATGTCTTTGGTTATATGCAGGAAGGAATTCCAATGTTGGCACTGGCTTCTGAAAGACACTGATTCTGTTCTGTAGTGGGTGAGAGTGTGTGGTAAAATGTGGACTGTAACTCATTTATAATTCAAAAGATTTAGTTTAGACTTCCCCTATTGGAAATCTATTAGAATTTCTCTTCTTTAGGTTTTTCTGGAAGAACCTAGAAAAAGAGTGAAGCAAACAAATAGGAGGATTCACTGAATGGTACTGACCTAGCTACAGTATTTAAGAACCGTATCTGTGAGTTCAGTTGTCAGTCCATTAGTTGCTCCAACATGTCCAAGATTGATCTATAAGTTTTCTTAGCTTCTCTTTTCCACTTGTCAGTCTTTATATTTCATAACCCTTAGCTCTCCAGGGGCCAGAAGGCAGTTTATGACCTGTGCTAATGAACAGACACGAGGCTAAAGGTTCCGGATACATTGAAGCTCCTCGAATGAAGTTTTTTCATTCTCAGTGACCCTGAATGTAAAATGTGGGTGGCAGCTTTACTGGAACCTCTCACATCACCTTTAAAAGTGAAGCAGACCAAGTTCGGTGCTGTTTTCCAGATCAGGGTATACCATTGTTTGACCTGCCACCATAAAACAGTTCCACATTCCTTCATCTATGGCCTCTAGGCTAGCCACATCAGGTGTCCCAAGATACTTGTCTGCCCCCAGCTGGGTAAGGCAGCAAAGAGAAACTAGCTTAGTGACATATAGTGGAACAGGAAGGAAATGTACTATTGGGTTGAAACTAGAGAGAGATGGAAACGAAAGGTGGTTGGGGCTAGGATAGGTGTTCAGGATCTTAAAATGAAATTGTTTTTGTAAAGCTCTGGCCAGTGTTCAGAACTCAGTTGAAAATTGAATGAAAAGTAAGCTCCTAGGTCTCCCAACCCTAACCTTAGGGCAAATCAGCAAAAGAATGATAGTGATGTTTGCAAGTAATACTTAGAGCAAGAATTGTTGCTCTTAGCGATTACCTAAGTGTACTAACCGTCAGTAGGTAGAAGATAGATTGACATGCATTTCTGTTTTTACAGATACTATTACAACAAGAGGATCCTTCATAAAACAAAAGGGAAAAGGTTTACTTATAAATTTAACTTTAACAAGCTGGTGACGCCCAACTACCCGTTCATCAACATTCGGTCAAGTGGTAAGATGCAAAGTCTCTTGGTGGGGAAAGAGATTTGAGTTGAAAAGGAATCCTGAAAACCCAAGACTCAGACTGGCATGTTTTAAGAGGTTTTCAGAAACACTAAAATAATGTGACTCCTTGAATTGCCTCTGTTCTTGCTCAGGTGTTTCCATTCATCTCATACCAAGAGTGATAAGCTCTGCAGCATCAAGATAAATGGGTTTGGTTTGTTGTTTTGGTTCCCTTTTTTGCATATTTGTAATTTCCTAGATACTGTTACTCTATCTTCTTTAGGAATGATGTTCTGTAGATTTGTGTTGATCTTTAAGTTCAGGACTCGGAGCTTTGACATTCTACCCAGGGGCTCTGTCATAGATAAGAACCTGTTCCTACAAGCACTTCCGATTTTCTATGAAACTACCAAACTCTCCCTTATCAAGTGAATATCATCAAAACCACAGCATCCTTGATCACAGAAGGGGATGTTCATATTTTACAGTGAAAAGCAGTGTCTTTGATCTGTACCAACAGCACCTCAGAACAAGACTTGGGGGTTAGTTGACCTTCTCTCAAGTGCAGCAAGGTTTCCCCTCTAGGATATCTGGTGACAGCTTTTCACCACAGCTCTTCACAGAGGTTTCGGGTCTGCCTCTCTCAAAGCAGAAAGCAGTCTCATAAGAGTGTGTTTGTTTGTTGGTGCAAATCGTAACCCTGCCCAATAAAACATTATATTAACCAGTTTCTAACCAGCCATCAGTACAGTCTTTGTGGCATTGTATGTTAAGGCAAAGAAATCTAATTGTGATTCTGCAATATTGCAACTTCTCACAGAAAAGTTGGAAACAACCTGAAAAATTAGAACGGGGGTGTGGCTGAGAGAATATAATGCTGAGATCCATTGCAGATACCTAATTACTACACACAACAAGTTAGAGCAGTTTTAGCTTGATGCAGCTATCATTACATTTCCATCTTACAGCCACTCCCTCCTGTCCCTGGGGCATACATTTAAAAAAAAAGTGGTATTGGAATGTATCTCTCTAATTACAACCTGTTTTCTTTCCTTGTGCCTGAGGGAGAGGCGTTAGGAAATCAAACCTGTTCTAGCCACTGGAATTCCATTTCCTCTATTCACTCTTGCTCCTTCCTTGTACATCTAGAGTAATTAGGACTCTAAGTAGGCATACCAGCAATTTTGAAGAAGGTGTTGGTGTTCACTGCCATACCACTCCCCCCAAAAAGGCTTTAATGGTCTTGTTCTTCTGTCTTGCACCCATTCTTGTGTATTGAAAACTCAGAAGTCTAGCCATTGGACAACCTGGAATGGGGCATCCATCAGCCCTTGGGAGTAATATGCTTTTCCAAGGCAAGGAAATCTGGACTCTGACTTTGTGAAGACTCTGGTCTAGAGACCTAACAGTAGTAGCCTGGCACAACTCATTCTGCCTGAAGGCAGTGGAACCAACACTGACCCTCAGCTAAGCTCCGAGATCCTAATCAGGGAAGTCGCAGGAAAAGCAGAGCAGTGTGTATTTCCTTTAGGCACACGCGGGGCTGCTTACTCCTGGATACAGATGGCTCCAAAGAACGGCGTTTGTTCACAGAGACCTTTTACCCAGATAGACCAAATGTTGTTTCAGCTTAACTTTTTATGACAAAAGAAATACAACATTTATTGAACATACATCTACTTAACAAAGGTACCTTAGTGTTTAGTGAATTATTTCATTCAACTCTGCTAGTCGAGTAAAGTATATGCCTCGGTATCATTTTATAAATGGTAAAATTAAGGATGACATCAGTCAAAGATTGATCAGGGTGGTTTGAATACAGTTAGCTGTCGAACAGCTTCTTAGGAAACAATACCTGAGAAATAGAGCTACTGAAATTCAGTTCTTATTTACTAAATCAACCATTCTTCCTCTGGATTGAGATTCATTCATTTACTCAACACATAATATGTTAAACCCTATAGATCAAAAAATAAAAATTAGGGAGAGGCACTCTTGCCTCGAGGAACTTACAGTTTATCAGGAAAGATAAGATATAGTAGGTTTAATACAATTCAGAGTGTGGAATGTGATAAGCACTCTAAGAAGTACGGCTGTATGGATTTAGATCTGGGAGGCCAGGGAGATCACGTCTAGATGGTGGGTTGATATCGTTGGCCTGTTTTGATCTGTGTGTTTTTAAGCATGAGGCAATACGTGCTGGTTGTAACATATCCAAATAATATAGAAGTTCATAGAGTAAAAGTAAAGTGAATGTTCTCCCTTCCCCACAATCTTACTCTTAACAGTTTAGGGGAGAGTACTTAACATTTGAATAGTATTGAAAATACTTCTACATATAGAATCTCATTTTTTACTTTTTATTTTATTTATTTTTTTTTTAAATATATTTTATTGAGTTTTTACAGAGAGGAAAGGAGAGAGATAGAGAGTTAGAAACATCGACCAGCTGCCTCCTGCACACTCCTTACGGTATGTGCCTGCAACCAAGGTACATGCCCTTGACCGGAATCGAACCTGGGACCTTTCAGTCCGCAGGCCGACGCTCTATCCACTGAGCCAAACCGGTTTCGGCGTCATTTTTTACTTTTTAAAAGTGTCTTATAAAATACTAAATTTATTTTAAATATTTACTTGCATAATAAACAAAAGAAAGATACAGAAGATACTAGTAAAAGTGATAACCCCAAAAGAATTTTTAAAAAAAGATAGCCTGTCGTGTGGGGGCAGGACATACCAATTCAAGGATGGACTTGAGCCCTCACGCTACGCCTCCCACCACCACCCCAGGTTGTTTATATATACCTTTATTTTGGAAAACTTTAAACCTACAGAAAAATTGGTAAAACAGTGAACAGCCACATGTTTAAGTCTTGAGATTAAGTTGTGAACATCATGACACTTCGCCCCCATATACTTCAGCATGGATCTCCCAGGTACAAGGACTGGGAGATTCATCTCCATAACCACAGTAATATTACAACTCCCCAGAAAGTTTAACATTGCTGTAATACTATCATCTAATATATGGTCCATATTCAAATGATAATATGCCTTTTAAAAGTTATTACTTTTGAACCAGGATTACTATCTAATAAATTACTTATTTTGAAAAATACTTATATGTCTTTTGCTATGAGCTGATGCTATTCTAAGATAAAATTATTTAGGAGACAGGACCTTCTACATTATGCTTAATGTTATTCAGTCCTTCAGAACACACAGAAGTGGGGATTTTTTTACTTTTGATTTGATGTGCTCTTATTTAAAAAATCAAGATAGAAAAGACTCAAAAAGAATGGAATTTTAGCCACTGTTATAGACAGGAAGAAGAGAAACTTTTGGCCTGGGACCCTTGTGACTCTACTCAAACCTAATTGTAAGATTCAATCAGTAGCTGTAGGGAA